TATCTGTTCTTACCAGACCCAACCGGTCGAAGCAGATGGCACTTGTCCTGAGCCTGGTTCTGCTAAAGGTTTCTTCTGCATTAGGGAGTTTTTCCTTTCCACTTTCGCCTTCATGCTTGCTCAAGATGAGAGTTCTTAGATGGAGTTAAATTCAAAGCAGTCTGCTCCTCAGATAAATAATGTTAAATTATTATTTTTAAATATGATTGTTTCTGTTCAGTGCACTGAGATGACTTTTGTTGTGATTCGGCGCTGTATAAATAAACTGAATTGAAATGAGGGCACAGATAAAGATGTAGATGTAGTGTAAAGCGCTTTGAGTGTCTTGATAACATAGAAAGGTGCAATATAAGTACAGTCCTTTTACCATTTGTATTCCAACAGTCATTTAGAGCAGCACTCCACTTCAACTTATACAGACAGTTGTTTGACCTCTTAATTGAATTTGACCCAGAAATATCATTAAAATGAAGACATTCTGTATATGAAATAATAAAACAAATATATATACATATATTTTTATTGATGAAAACTTTACAATATTGTTCATTTCTGTCATTCTTATTTTCTTATGCATGCTTTTTTAACCTATAGATAATTTTCCTTGAAAAAACACTTTATTTGTCTGAAGCTGAGCCACTTTGTTCCCTTACTCTCATCTCCCCTGGTTTCACTTCTCTTGCCAAGTTGCAGCTCAGCTGATTCTGAAGTACCACATCGCTGTGACTTCTAGGAAAGTCTTAGAAGAGTTTTCTAATTTATTCACAGCATTTGACTGGAACTCAAGCCTGACGCATAATGAATGACAAAAAAATAATCATGAAAAAAGGTGACACCTAGGCACCATCTGTATCAAGGAAAGTTCTGTCTCATTTTTCTTTTTTTATTTATTTAATCTGTTACTTTTTACATTTTCAACACAAGCTGTTACTGTCACTGAAAATGTTTTCAGAAGGGTTGAAGTTTTGCTTCAAACAGCGATTTGCCCAGACCATTTTTCTTTTTCATTTTTAGAAGTAAGCCCCTTTTTTTGTTGCAAGCCAACTGTTTGAGAGAGTTAAACCTTTTTTTATTTATTTTTTTAACTGCAATGAGTCACGGGTATGGAGGGAAGGAGAACACAGTATTCCAGTTCATCATCATCTTTCCTTTTCAGTCCCCCCCACAGTGTCTTTCAAATGGACAAAACTGCATCTTAAAGCAGAATGGAGTTTCTGCCAAACATCCTGTAAACCATTAACTTCACATTATTATTTTTATTTTACATTTTTCTATTCATAAAATAAACACCATTAATAACTAATCTTTCTATTTAATGAGTAGATGTTCCTTATTTTTCAACTAGTTTTTACTCTTTGGAATCACATTGAACCATCTTATTTACCTCAATGTCATTTTCAGTTTGTGTGTGTGTGTGTGTGTGTGTGTGTGCATTTTATCTGTAATTATTACCAATAACATGATAAAGTATCTTACTGTTGTGTCTTAAACAAATGTTTTAAAGCTTTAAGGTTTTGTGATGCTGTTGTTGGGATGCAAACTTTAAACCCACACGAACTTTACAGCTACAGTATATGCTGTTGTCCTGCATGCATGATATTAAAATTTACAATAAAACATAATTATTAGAAAACACTCTGTTGATGCAAACTGTTTACTAAAAAAATAACAGTTTGCATAGTCTTATTACCATGATTGTTCCACAGTGACTACTCAGTTTTGGGTAACTTATGATGAACTGTATTAATGTGTCATTTTTATGACTGTTGTGGTGTTTTTGTGTATGTTATTGTACAAAAAGATGTGGATTTACATTTGTAATATGCAGCGTGAGTTAGCTTTCAAAGCTAAGAAATAAACATTTGCATATGTATAAGAATTACTTGTCTGTGCAAATGTTTTTTTCTGTGTAGTCAACCTGTCAGAGCTGAAATTAACCAGTCAGAGCCTGAGTGACTCACAACTTTGCATGGGCAGAGACAAAGTAAAAGTAGTTTTAAAACATCCTGATCATGCTCAACACATGCTCATTTTTTGGGGTTTTGCTTTCTTTTGTCTTTTGAATGTCCAGAGGACCAGACTTAACTTTTTTAGATAGTTTTAAAACAGTTTCTTCTAGTCTTAGGACAGAAACGCATAGTGTGGATGATGAAACAAAAAAATCTGCTACTTTCCTGCTGATGCATAATCTGTCTTGTTCTTGGTTTTAGACCTCTTTGTATATGTCACATCCTGCAGCCACTCAGGCCTAATACATGTGTAATTGTGAATACATGAAGGCAATGTATCCAGACAAATTAATAGAAAGGACATTTTCAAATAATCAATCTTTAGTTAAATTTCTAAAATTTAAGAAACTTAGGTGTCTGAATTTGAATTTAATACTTAGTTTAGTAAAGCAACTTTTATCAGCTTAAAATTTCCAATATTTTCACGTTGATAAAACCTTAAACACCATTTTTTAAATTTTTCATATGTTTTTAGAAACTTTTAAAATCTTTTAAACAATTTAAGAGTTTCCAGCAAAGGTCATTCAGGTCATCTGGATGTTTCCTTTTTTTTTGTTGAGACGTTTCGTCCTTCATCCAAAGGACTTTATCAGTCCAAGGAGCCACTACAAACTGAGTTCCACAAGCAGCACACTCACATAGTGGACCAATCAGTTTGCTGGTGATAAGATGGTTTCTGGTAAGAGAATCGCTTTTCGAACTGAACTGCAAATTGGATGTGATTTGTGAGAATCGCAGGTCCTAGGATTTGCTGGCAGGATGGATCAGATCTTGGGGAATACTCTCAGGCACGGACCAGCAGTGTGTCCACTTAATTTTGACGTTTGGTATTCGTGAGGATCAGCAAAGATGCAAGGCAGACATAAATCAGTAAAGTTCGGCCTGTTTTCAAAACAAATGTTTATCTGAATTTGGCTCCCCAGCTGGCCTTGACAGGTCACCTTATCTGCATTCGCCTGGAGGCCCTGTAAATTTGATGTTCTGTCCCCTCCCCTCCCACTGAGGAAGTCTGTGGACCTATCAGAGGATCCCGGTCAAATAAACATCGTGTCATCATTTCAGGACTCTTGGATTCTCTCTGGCGCTGTCCTAGGTCGACCTCGGCACCCCTCAGGAGTGTTTAAGGATCTCACCAGAAAGAACTGAAAGATTATACCATTCTTGTCCGAACTCACACAGTGTATCTGGAGTGTCCTTGGACACGCTCACCACTCTTGTCATCTCCCCTTTGGAATGTCTGTGTCACTATGTGCCTTTGTGCGTGGTGTTATTTTCCTCCAATCTCAGGCTATCTCTTCTCAGCCAAGGAGTAAGTTTTATAGGATTTGTTTTGCCTCCAAATCCTATACATGTATCACTTTCATTACTTTTTGTCTCTCTAAACAGGTCTCATTTGTAAATGTCTTCGAGGCTCAATGTGATTTATCTGTGTAAATAAAGGTTGAATGAACAAGAAAACATCTTATCACTAGCAAACTGGTTGGTCCACTTTGTTAGTGTGCTTCTTGTGGGACTCAGTTCATTGTGGCTCCTTGGACTGATGAAGTCCTTTGGATGAAGGACGAAACGTCTCAAAAAAAAACAAAAAAAAAACTGTCCAGATGACCTGACTGAACTTTGATGGATTTTCTACCTGGGTTATTGAACATGAACTTTGGTGAAATTTAAGAGTTTCTTGTGATGTTAATGTGCGTCTCATCTTATTATTTTACCAGAAATACTGGAGCCACAGGGTTGAGTGGCAGTTTTGCAAATCACTTAAGACTGCTCTGGTTTTAATGCAAAAAGAAACAAAACAAAAACAGTTTATAGGATTTTTAAAATGGCATTCTTGCTTGCCATTTGTCAGCAGGTTGCTGTAAAATCATAATAAATTATTTTTTATGAACCATGAGAGCAATTTTTTGCAGTTTTTGTTCTGTCTTTCTCACAGTGTGAGCTTTCCAATTACAACATGATGGATTTAACGCTACCTACATTTCCTTCAGACAATCGGTTAGTCTAAGAGTGCTTTCAGACAGCAAGTGATTACTGCTCCGTTTGGCTCCTGGTGATGTACTGTGATGTACTGTAGACATTGTGTATTGGTGGAAAATGCACCAGAGTAAGCAGACAATTGCAAAGAAACAATAAAATAAAATAAAGGGTATTACATAACTAAAAGCCCTGGAATTGTACAGTAGTCATGGCAGCTTTTGTCATGCTTTTATTCTTTATTGAAATGGAAAATACAACAAATAGCTGTCATCATAACAGTTTGTTTGCTTTCAGAGATGGTGAGGAACCATATCGTAGCATTCAAACATTAGCATCCTTTTACTCTGAATAATGACTCATTCAGATTGCTCTGTGCCATCTTGTCAAAGAGCTCATGAGCGTGAATAGTTTGTTGTGTTTCGCTGTTGCTGAAGGTACAATGGTGGATACAATCATTAACCCTGACACAATGAAAGATTGTCACACTGGTCAGGCTTGAGGGGAGCAAACATACGCTGTGAATCAAACGCAACTATACTCCCCTTCTAAATGATCTGTGCTTTGTGTTGATGGCAGAAGTTGTGGGTCGCCTCTTGTCTCTGGATGACCTGCATGAAAGATGGCAATATCTACCTCATTGCTCACGTCCTTTGCCTCATCTACACTGCTGTGCTGCTTTGCCTTCCGAGCTGAATGGCTGTCATTTCAGCTTTAGCCCTGGAAAATGATGCTTGCAGCGTAGCGGAACATTGCAGCTATGTCACTAACAGCCAAATGGAATATTGAAAAATTGAAGTGTCTGCGTTTTGGGTGCCATAATACCAGGTGACTCCCTGCTGCTGGGGGGAATATTACAGTCTGACACTAAGGAGATGGATAACCTGTTTTTGGGTGGGCTCATGATAATGGCCAAGAGAAATGTCATATCTATCTCATTTGTATTCAGGAGCAGAGTTTGCTTGTTGTCATGAAATGTGTGTGAATAGTCATCGTAAATTTGTTGTCTTTTTGCAGACTGCAATCTCTTGAAGATAATTGATGGAGCCCATTTGGACTGTGTGGTAAAAAAACATCCTCCGTTGGCTTGTGTGATGCATCTCCTACCTGAGAATGCCCTTGTGTCTGGTGATGACATCATTCCTGGGCTTACAGCTTCTCCAACAGGTGAACTTTTCATCACAGATTAAAAATGTACTTCAGTTTAGAAAATGAGACTGGTGGTGCTAGGGTGCTCCTTTTACCTAAGTGCATGTTTAAAGATGGAAAACTGTAGGAATGCAGCTTGTGACTTAAAAAGATAATGAAATACATGACTCAGAAGCTCTTGTATGGTCTATTGTGATGTTATCTAATGTTTTAACCAATTATAACAGTCTTTGACACATCAGTTGTCATAAAACCAAAATATATGTGCAAAGTAACTCCCAGTTTAAGATGAACAGACCACTCTTTTGATGAATACATTTATATCCGAGTACTGGTAACAGCAGGAACATCAAGGTTACTAAAATTTCCAGTTAGTGTATTCTGGAAAAATGTATCACAAGAAGGAAGCTGTGATTTTATATTCATAATTGTACATACACAGACTAATTATATTGAGTTTGAGGATTTTTTTTGGACTTACATTAAATATGTCAAATGTGGTTTATGCTAGACAGAAACAAAACACAAGAATAATAAAACACGTTTTAACTAACTTATAAATGTAACTTCTGATGAGCTACAAAACGTACAGACTTCAACATACCTGAACTAGGAAGGGCCTCAAAACTTTGTCATATTTTTTTAAATCAAGCTAATAGAAAATAAAGTAATAACATTTAAAAAGACATTTTCAAACAAAATTGTATATCATATACAAATAACAGAAATGATGAACATAAGCCATGTTTGAAGAAGGCACAGATTCTAATCCTGCATCCCCAGCAACATGAATGGAGTTACAGGATGGGTGGCAAATCTTCTAAGCTGTACTGTAAGATACAAATATTTTTGACAAATACACATTTCTTTGTTTTCATACTCACTGATTAATACGTTTGATTTAGTTTTACAGAAAAAAAAAATCTTTTACAAATTAATGCCTAATTCAAACCTATTATTTTTCACATCTTCAACATTTTAGTCACATTTTCTTTGACTGTTTGTTGCTCTTACATTATGAAGCTGGAAGATCTTTCTAAGATGCAGCCCTCTTAAATTAGCAGTTGTAATCGGTCTAATGTTTTGCAAATCATTCAAAAGTTTCTATCTTTGTAGATAAGTAAAACAAAAACATATCTCTGCCCATGGTGACAGTAATGTGCATCACAACTACGTTACGTTGATCTGAAGTTCATCCTGCTCTTTTGGCCCAAATGCACAACCGTTTACCAAACAATTAAAGTGACCAAAGGGGCTCTGTGAATTAATCAAGAGTAACATGATGATGCAACTTAACTTATTGCTTTCAAGTATAACCCAACAGTACATCCTTCCATAATTATATGATCATCTTCCTCTAGCTGTCACAAGAACATACAGGACATTCATCACAGTCATCTTTTTTTGGAAACAAACTTCCAGCAGAAGTTGAATTGTCTGAAGTACTTAGGAAGTAAGTTTCTAAGGGGGAGTGTAATGGAGTCTGACAGTGCAGAGCTATAATCATTGGGAGTCAGTGGGAGGTATGGTAGCAAGCTAATCCTCTTCATGTTCTGGGGCTGTGAGCAGCAAAGACCTAAGCTGCCTTTTAAGACCACTGCCACCAGCTTGATACTCACCCAGCATTCAGAACAGCTAGACTGTGAGCTTCAGAGACATGGACTGCAAGGAAACACTTGATAGCTGCATTACTCTTCAGCAGATTACAATCACACTGCCTGTTTTCTGATTGTTGTGTCTGAACAGGTCGATTGTGGACTTCACAGACTTCCCCACATCCAATGGCTGAATACTTTATTTATTTATTTTTTCCGTTAATGACTCAGTTTAGAGCAAGCATCCAAATGGAAACAGCTCTTGTTGGCTAGTTTGTTACAGACACTGCTTTTTCTTGTGTACATGATGCATTGATCAGCCCAATGCAGATCACACAGATTAAGTTGCGCTGTCACTTGTTCACATGAAAGGAGTGATTGCAGACAATCAAAAATGCCAAAAAAAGGGGTGTGTTTTCATAAACAGTGTAGTCTCCAGGTGGGAGGATGAAATTGATAGTACAAGAAAGTTGAACAAATACATCTTGTTTATGGAAAATCAGCTTGTAGTGTTAAACTGGTTTGATTCTCATTACCAAGACTCAAGCCTTGGTCAGAAAGCCTAAATCTCTTTTTAACATGTGTAGAGATACATTTACTGTTATATTACAAGTATGTCTTCAATGCTGTATTAAATTTTACAAGGATCATGAATTTTACAGACAGGTCACAAACAGATTCAACTGAAATGTATTTTTATTTATTTCACACATTTTTTACACTGCTTAAGATTGTGTTTTGTTCCTCTTCAGCAGTTTGAAATGGACATGCATTCTGTCAGCAAGTAACTTCTTTAATAAGCCCCACAGGAAACCATTTTGCATTCAGTGGAGGCTCTAAAAGTGATGTGAAAACGTCACGTACATATTAGGGTATGTGTACGCATTGATGCTTTTCTCTCACTGTCCCCAGGTGACGCTCTGCTGAGGCCTCAGCTGGTCAAGATGATGCCCTTCACCCTGGATAGACTGACCATTTCTCTCCAGCCTTCCCTGGAGAAGTTTGAGAGCCTTCTGCTGCAGCTCATCAATGCCGACTGCCACAACACAGTAAGGCCAAGCTGCCACAACACACAATTTAGATTTGTCATCCATGTGACACATTGGAAGCATGAAACTGTCTTAGGAAGTGTACAATCCTGTATGGTCACGCAAGACTCAAATTTGAGTTAAATTGCTTTTGCGACATTAAACAGATGCACTAATTACATTAAATAATGTAATTTGTATCTATAGTCATTTAAATATGTATTTTTCCTTACCTTACAGAGTTTGCGTTCATTTTATTTTGAGCGATGTATTTAATGGGAAAAATCAGATCACATTAAACATATATTATGTGTACCTGTCATCCTCTTCAATCTAGGTACAGTGTGTACATTCTATCTTGATAACATTTCATCCCTTTGAGGAAACGGTTTAATACACTTCCCTCAGTAAAGACGGACATGATGGCCTTGGCACACCTTTGCTGAGATCATTTTCTTCAGCTTGACGATTTCCTTTATCCCACTTTCCATTCTTTTGACGTGCAAGAGCAAGCCTCTTTTTCATCTGCCGCCACAATTTATGGCATATCATCTGCAACGTAAATAGAGCTTATCTGTTTTCTTCTCACTTTCTTGTCAGTAGAATCTCTGATGGTTAACCTTGTTTGACAGGTCGAGTTTTGGACTAGCAAATATATGCAAAGTAGCTGCACACTGTCTGCTCATTTAAGTTTAAATGAGAGGTGCCCTTGGTGGGGATAAGAACTAATATGACAATACTGCCTGTCATTGTTACTGGATCCAGGCCGGGTTCTGAAAGTCAAACACAGAGCACAAAGAAAAGGTTTAGGGTTGATTAGACCTGGCCTACAGTACGCACTACAGCACCACTGGGTACATTTGTGACAAGCATGCTTGTAACAGAATAACTATCTTTCTATTTGTGCCCTTTCTTGAAATTGCTTTTGCTCTTTGATTATATCCTATTGACTGATGAAGGAATAATAATAAAAAATAAAAAAAACACCAAAAATTCTCAACAAAAACTAAAGATTAAGAAGAATTAAGAATCGTGGGTTAGAATTACCCACGATAATTGTCAAAAGTGGCTTTCAAGTTTTTGAAAATCACTAGAAATGGAAAAAAACAGCAACATACAAGGAATAATAAATACATAAAAGTAAGTAAAATAGATAGGAATGTTTAAAAAAGAGATTGAATGGACGATGTCATTTTACACAACAAAACCTATTTTAAGACATCTCTTCACAGTAATGCAGATTTAATAAACTAGAATGAGGGACAGTTTTTAAATCCTTTTCTAAAGTTGAAAATATATTAACAAAATAGTGACAGAATTAATGCAATAATTGTTCATATTGTTAAGGATGTTTGTGCAACCTAAAATAGTTGCTAAGATCAGCGCAGTAGATACTGTATAACATTTCAGACATTTATCGGTACTCACAAATAGAATATGGTATATTCAATTAAAAAAATTAGGCATTCCAAATTAAGTTGAAGTTCAGTTTAAAAGGTCAAAGTAAATAAAGGCATTTATTTTTTACTGTTGTCGTCATTTTTCAAGTTCAACTCAATTCAAGTTCAGGTGAACTTTATTGTCATTTTCAACACATGCGGTACACGAGGTGGAACAAAATTATGTATACAGGGTCCCAGTTATTTCCAAAAATAGCAAAATATAAAGTATTAAAACAAAAGAATAGTAAATATGGATCTAAGATATACACTAAGATATACGCTAAACAAACACCAAACGGTACAGTACGCCAACTTATATGCACGGTATAAACTGCAACTTATAAGTAATAATAAAATGCAGACCCCTTTGACATTGTCAGTTTTATGTATGCATAGTCAGGAGTTTTATAGAAGAAAACTATTTTGAGCACCTCTTCTGATGCTGTCAACACCAGCTTTGCACAGGTGAAAGGCTGAGAATTAAAACCAGACGTTTTTGTGGCAATCACAAAATCCTTTTTGTTCTAATAATGTCAAAGGGGAACATAGGAATACATGCATTTTATATAAACTGGATGTACATGGTGAAAATATAAGCGTTTGAGTCCTGCTGGACTTCTTAATCTTTCAGCGTGTTTGATTGTGCTGGAGTTGAAGGTGTGCTGTGTTTTACCTTGAATACAGTCTATGATGGAAACATACGACAGGAATTTATATGGTTTTTAATTTCAATTAACATTTGTAATTTTTGGAAAAACAAAATGGTCTCAATATAAATTTTATAAAGTTTATTTAGGCAGCCTGAACTATTTTGCCCCATTTGCACTGCCCCTAATAAGCCCCAATTCTGGGCAGCCCGCCATGGAAAGAACCCTTTTGCACTAACACTTTAGCTAGTATTTTTAGCTGATTTGAGGCTGATTCAGGACCTCTTTTCATCCCTGCTTCTCTGGTGGGACCGTGCGAGCTCAGTCGAGCTGAGTCCGGACCGAAACGTGAATGCAGGACTCTGATTGGTCAGGGGGAGGAGTCACTGGACCTCAGAAACTTTTCACCGATCCGCCATTTGCAATTTCTCGGGATGCATTGCAGCAGCTGGATCTATTTTTAAGATTTTAAAAACAATAATGACAACGGCGTGTTTAATTCTGAAGTCCAGGCGTTTTTTGTGTTTGGTGACCGACGACAAAATTTGAGCGAGCGGAGTCACCGCGGAGGATCATATACGAGCTGCAGACCCGTTGAAGCACGCGAGGCCGGAGGGACGGGGGGTGGAAACTTTTTTTAAAATGTTTTATGTATAAAAAATACTTTTTTTTTATCAGTGAAGATTCAAAATAAATAAACGGTGCCAGCTTTATCATGACATCCTGTTTTCACTTTGACTTAAAAAAAAAAATCTGTTAATTAAAGTTAATTCAGCTGAAAAATCATAAAAATACTAAATTATTGGATCTCAGGAATATTTCCCTCAAACATGTTTAAAGAAGAGACACAGCCTTTGGTTCAACTTTATTCTAAACCACAGATGTACAAATCACAAAACAAGAATTACACTTTAAATTGAAGCTTTAAATCAAAGCAAAACTTTAAATCAAAGCTAAAAATAATCTGTATACAAGAAAAAATAATCTGTATACAAGAAACAAAAACACAATGAGCGCAAATACATCAAATGATGACTAAAAATATAGACTTTTAAATATAGATATCCTGATGCATGCTCAATAATCCAGGTAAAAAAAAATAAAAAAGTTAAGTCTGGTCTTCTGGACATTCAAAAAACAAAACAAAAAAAGGTAGAAACGTTTCTTCTTTCATCCGAAAGACTTATTCAGTCTGAGGAGCTTTTATTCAGCTCAGTCTTTTATAAATAGCTATTTATGAGCTGAATACAGCTCCTCAGACTGAAGAAGTCTTTCGGATGAAAGAAGAAACGTTTCTACATTAAAATACATTTTTTTGTTTTGTTTTGTTTTTTGAATGTCCAGAAGACCAGACTTAACTTTTTAAGATTTAAATATAGATGTTTTTGTAGAATTTGGTTAATCAGATTTAATTCAGTTCAGTTTATTTATATAGCGCCAAGTCACAACAGAAGTCGTCTCAGGGCACTGAACAGAAATATTCATATATAAAAATAACAATTTACTATTATTTATCTGAGGAGCAGGCTGCTTTGAGTAACTCATCGCAGAACTCTCATTAGCAGGACTTGGATTCTGGACACACCTCCAGAATCGGTCCTAAAGTGCAGGTGCAAATCCAGGCTGAGCTGAGCCAGGCTGAGCAGGGGTGTGCAGCGTTGGGGCTGATTAGGAGCAGTGCAAATGGGGCATTTGTTTTAGAGTACTCTTGATTGGTTTATTTAACACTTCTAGTCACCTCAAATAAAACTGGAAATAAGAATAATATATATTTTTGCGGTTGTAGATATAAAGTATGCTCCTCTTCTTTTCCCTTTAGTATATAAATCAAAGGCTTCCTTTTGAGCTATTCTCATACCCTTATTGGGAATTTACATTTCTTTCATGGAGACTGGTAAGTCTGTTCAAATTTAGTTCTATTAAAAAAGAAGCATTAAAGAAAATTGGCTTCTGTTAACTTTTCATGCTGATCTGTTCCAGTGAATTGAATCCCAGATTTATATGCTGGCAATGTAGCAGCAATAAACGCATTTTATGTGACAAAAATAGAGCATTAGGGGACTAAAATTAAAATTAAAATAACTCACGGACATACAAGAAAAATCCTAATAAATCCCGCAGACTGCCGTTAAATTTTCTATGGCACCCCCCCCCCCCCCACACACACACACATACACACACTTAAGGTACCAGCCACCTAATGAGCCACCGTCTGGACAATGATCATTAAAGTATCAAAAAGTCCAGCTTTGAGAGGCTTGACCATTCTTCCAGGTTATAAAACCCCAATCTGTGATATGAGACTCAGCTACTGTTGCAGTCAAAATCCAAAGAAGCAGCACTGAAAAATCTCAACACATCTAAGATTAGGATGCTGCAAGACACCTTATTCATTGTGTAAATGCATAAAATGTATGTGCAAAATTGAATGAACCTAAAGTAAAGATAAAAATGAAATATTGATCTTTTAAGCTCCTGGCCTATTTATTTTAAGACTTAGCTGCTAATACACTTCTGGTGACTTTTGCTCTTATTCTTTGTGTATACAGTTCATGCATTGTTTCCCTCTACTTAAGAGCAGACAATGGAAAGTAGACCACAATTTTCCCTCGGTGACACAAGTGACATGTTAGCACGGATAATGTTCTCATTTTGGTATTCACAGTCCCCAACTTTTTTTACAACTTCAGCGATATGACGACATTCTCACCTCTGAGAGAGGTGTTAATACATCCAGAAATCAGCTTGATTACAGCTTTTAATTCAAATGTGTGCATGCGCGAGTGTGTGTGTGTGTGTGTTTCTGTGTGAGCAAGAGAGGACTGCTAGAGAAAGAAAAAAATGGGTGTGTGTGTGACCTTTAAATGTGTGACTCCAGCTGGATTGTCATCAAGCTGTCTACGAAGTGATGCTGACACCTCACCCATCGACT